AGCACTATTCACAGCTTAATATACTATAAGCACTATTCACAGCTTAATATACAATAAGCACTATTCACAGTTTATTATATTATAAACACTATTTACAGTTTATTATACTATAAGCACTATTCACAGCTTAATATACAATAAGCACTATTCACAGTTTATTATACTATAAACACTATTTACAGTTTATTATACTATAAGCACTATTTACAGTTTATTATACTACGAGCACTATTCACAGTTTATTATACTATAAGCACTATTCAGTTTATTATACTGTAAGTACTATTCACAGTTTATTATACTACAAGCACTATTTACAGTTTATCATACTACAAGCACCTTTTACAGCTTGTTATGTTATAAGCATTATTCACAGCTTAATATACTATAAGCACTATTTACAGTTTATTGTTCTATAAGCTCTATTTACAGTTTATTATACTATAAGCACTATTTACAGTTTATTATGCTACAAGCACTTTTTACAGCTTGTTATGCTATAAGTATTATTCACAGCTTATTATACTATAAGCACTATTTACAGTTTATTATACTATTAATAACTGTACCATATCTATAAAGAAGATAAATAATCAATTATTATTTTAATATCAATTCCCGATCAGAGCAAGCTACTGACTTAGTTCGAAAAATAAAACAAAAATCAGCCCAGTAATTAGTATATCTAACTAAATATACTGGTCTTACTTATAAGGATTAAAATACATCAGTAAGTACCTCATTGTTAACTATATTTGCGGTCATAAAACCAATATCTCACGAGGTTCGCCAGCTTAGGATATTAGTTAGTCTTAAATACATATACTAGGTTATCAGCTTAGGGAATATAAGTTAGTCCTAAATACATATATCAGGCTATCAGCTTAGGAGATTTAAGTTATAGACTAGTGGGAAGGGAACTAGTCAACGTCATTCACCGCCAACTCTTGGGCTACTCTTGTCAAACAAACAGGTGGATTTGATCAGCACTCTTATAATGCACCCACGACCTCAAAATGCAGAGCGCAATTTTTTGTTACGCTGTAATGGGGCTGAAACCACGGAACCAACCCCAGTTCCACAATCCGCACTCTAACCACTAAGCCGCGCTCGGCTTCTGTTTAATGAAAATGTATATTTTATTTATCTACTAATAACGAGCGAGCGGATTACTTTTTCTTACGAAGAAATCGTAATGTTTACAGAGCTCTTATTTTAACTACGAATTTGATAACGTATATCAAAGCTTCTCTATTTTATAAATAGTTGAGATGAAACGTTTCTACACGCTAGCAACGTCTGCCAATGACGTTTATTAGATTACAGACCGAGGTAAAATATCAAGAATAGTCGAACCCATATACCGTAAAAGTTATATTCAAAGTTTATTATGCTATAAGCACTATTCACAGCTTATTATGTTATGAGCACTATTCACAGTTTATTATAGTATAAGCACTATTCATAGCTTAATATATAAGCACTATTCACAGTTTATTATATTACAAGCACTATTCACAGTTTATTATGTTACAAGCACTATTCACAGTTTATTATACTATAAGCATTATTCACAGCTTAATATACAATAAGCACTATTCACAGCTTAATATACAATAAGCACTATTCACAGTTTATTATACAATAAGCACTATTCACAGTTTATTAT